CATGGCTGTGGGTCTGATCCCCGCTCAGGGCACATACAAGAAACAGCCAATGAATGTGTAAATAAGTGGAACAACAAACTGATTGTTTCTCTCCCTCTCTCTCTCTCAGATCAATAAACTAAAAACAATTTTAAAAACTTTAATAATATAGGTAAAATATACTGGTGGTGGGATCAGGGAAAGTGAAGAGGATTTCTTAGACAAGATACAAAAAGTACTGACTATAAAAGTTTATTAAACACAGCTTAAATTCAGAATTTCTGTTTTTTGAAATACAACTTAAACTAGGTGAACAGATATTTGCCAAATACCTTACAAAAGATGAGAATCGGGACTATATGAGTAACTCCTACACATATGAGAAACAGATAATTCAATAGATAAGCAAAAGATATGAATAGATACTTCACAGATGAAGAAATATATATGGCCCATAAGCCTGTAAAGATATACACAACCTCACTAGTAATCAGGGAAATAAAACAGCAAAACCGCAGAGAGATACTGTTTGATGCCCACTTGTTTGACCCCCCAAAAAAGTTATAAAATTCCAATGATATAGATCAATAAGACATCTTATGCATTGCTAATGAGACTGTACACTGATGTAAAACAAAATCTTTGGCAAACAATTTGATATTATCTGGAGACATCAACTGTTGGGAACCGCCCTGCCTGGTATCAGAAGCTGTAACTCCCACCAAGGCTAAGGCTGAGGGAATGAACTTAGACCATAAGCCACCAAGGAGACAAAAGCTGCTCTCCCTGGCAGGAGCGCCACTTCTGCTCCTTTTACTTCACCCTGCCTGGCCCCCAGTGCTTGGTCGGTTAGCCAATGATGGGTAAGGTTCCCCAAGGGGGAAACGATATAAGACAGGCACGATCACATGGGAGGCCCCCAACAAAGGACTTTGGGGGCTACAGCAAAAGGGGATGATGGACCCTCGCCCCTCGGCTTTGACATAGCCTGAGTCCTCATTGCGAGAAAATCTCCTAATCTCTTGGCTGCCTTACTTCCCTTGCTCCACCTAAGCCTGAAACAATGACAGAGGGTGGTGCAGCCCTGTGCTGGAAAGGGCAGGTCCCTGGGTGATCAGGCCTAAGAAAGAATATGTAAAATCCTGTGAAACCTGCTTTGTTTAGAGTGCTCTCAATTAACTGATAAGGGTCCAAGGAAGAAGTAAGTTTGTTCCTCAAAGTTTTACTGCTCTTTAGCTATCTGACCCTGACTCAAAATAGGCCCTCAGGGTTCCTTGTTATTTGATCCTTACTTCCCGGCAATGAGTAATGAGCTTTGCCTGAATTCTTATGCAAATGAACCCAATAAAAGCCTTCTCTGGCTGGAGAACTAGACACCCTCCCCTAGGGAGGGTGGCCATTTCGTACCTATTTCCCCACAGGACTTGGTTGTCTCTGTGTATGTTTTTCTCATGTTTCAATAAGCCATCTGCAGTGTTCCGAGGTCACTGCAGGCCGGTGGTCATGTCAATCAACCACTCAATATACCTTTTAACACATTAATTTCAGTCCTTGGTATCCCTTACCCACCACCTCCCTATCTTATCCCAGAAAACTCTTTGCCCGTGTGCCTCAGGACACATGAACAAGAATCTTCACAGTAGCACTGCCCACAATAGCACAAAACAGGAAAGGGTCCATATGTCCATCAAAAGAAGAAAGCATGCATTAATGGTGTACATTCAACACAATGGGATATTTTACAGCAAAATGAAAATAAACTATAGCTACATATGCTAACGCGAAAGAATCAGAAACGTGTGAAAAATGCAAGTCTCAGAAGATTGCAAATACTATATTTTTCAAGTGTAAATGTATATAAAGCTTTTTAAAAAGCAAAAATAAAATGATACTGTTAAGGTACGTGACTAGGTACGTGCATACACCTATGTGCCCTTGTACACACACATACAAATTCTTTAACGTTCCTTTAAAATAGTCCTTCAAGCTCCTAAAACAAAATGAGACATTTCTAAATATTCAGGATATTACTATGCAGGATAGTAGCTACCTGTGAGCGTGGGCGATGGATAAGGAAGGAACCTCGAGGTAGAGGTCAATTATTGGTAACCTTCTCTTTCTTGGATTGAGTGGTAGCTTCCTGGGAATTCACTATGTTCTTGATAAATAAATGAAAAGTTAAAAGGCCCATGGATGAGCTGTTGATGACTGTATGTCATGAACGAAGGGTTTTGATTAATCCAATTCTACATACTCGAGTGCAAGGAGAAATATGGCAGTGATACCAAACATTTATATGGCGCTTACCATGCATCAGGCATGTGCTTTATCCCATTTAATCCTTCCAGTGAAGAGATTCTATGATTTTCCCTGTTTTATAGGCAAGAAAGTCAAGGCTCAGGGAGATTACCAGCAGAGGCCCACAGCAGAGCTGGGATTTTAGTCTAGGCTGGCTGGTTCCTGAGTCCATGCACTTAACCGCTGCCCTTTAAGATGTCTGGATAAATGAAAGAGGTAATTATATTAGGTCTTAGTCACCTAGCATAAATGACAGCAGAGCACTTTCTGTAATGATGTTAAAGAATGAACCGCATGCATAGCCCTGGAAGCACACACTAAAAACCACTGGATTGTGCGCTTCAACTGGTTGAACTTTATGGTATGTAAATTATACCTTAATACAGCTGTTAAAAACTCCACAGGCCACAAATAAGTGCCTTCATATTACAAACTGGGTCCTAAATGATCGTTGGCTATTTTAGGGATTTATTATGCGCCTATGAGTAAAATACACACTTTTTTGCAGACCAAACAAACAAACTTCACTGTCAGGAGACCATTCATGTTATGGAGAAATGGCAAAATCTTTTCTGTTCCCAGCTGCGGGCCTTTTCGCATGTGCCAGAAATTGAAGAGCTCTCTGCTCCCCACATACAATTGCTGTTGCAGTTATAGTTGTCTGTGTGTGTATTGAGGATACACAATGAAACCCAGGAAGGAAGACAGTGGAAAGAAGACACTTCATTGAAAACATCCTGATATATCCTTTAATTGCAGTTTTCTTCCATGTGCGTAACTTTGATTTCTGCCTTTTTCTTTTACATTTAAAGGCAACAGAGAAAGCGCTTCACATAGAAAACCTGTGGTGGCCGCTCTCCCACTGGGCTGTGTCGTCTGGGGCCTTTGAGTTGTGTAGCTCCAAGGGCCCAACACGGATCCCCGAATGGGCTAGGGCAGCTTCTCCTCAACACACTTGGTTCTTGACAAGGCCCGAGGAGAGATCAACACACTCCTTTGGTGCTCAGGGAATCTGTTGGTAGCTTAACTCTGGTTTCACAACTGCTGAAAGATCTCTCTTGCCCAGGTCAGCTGCCATCACAGATCTGGCCATCGATCGTAAGATCAGATGAAAATTCGGCCTGGACCTCAACAGCTCCATCACCAACACCAGAAAAGGGGTTCTGAGTCCTGGCTCTCTAAACCATGGGCCACTTTCATCCTCTCAGCTCTCTGATGCACACGTGTGAAAATAGGCTGGTTCAACCTAAGAAGCTTCATAGAGAACACAAGGAAGTAAAAAAATTACTTATGTTCCTGGCTGGCATAGCTCAGTGGATTGAGCGCAGGTTGCGAACCAAAGCATCACAGGTTCGATTCCCAGCCAGGGAACATGCCTGGGTTGCAGGCCACGGCCCCCAGCAACCGCACATTGATGTTTCTCTCTCTTTTTCTCCTACCCTTCCCTCTCTAAAAATAAATAAATAAAATCTTTAAAAAAAAACTTGACTTAAAAAATTACTTATTTTGACACAGCATGGATCCAATGTTATGCCATTGTTCAGTTGTGTCATGGACACACACACACACACATTGCAGGCTGTATTTTGGCTCTCTTACTGGAAATGGCCTTCAGGCCTTTTCTGCCTACCCACTGAGCTTACCAGTCCTCTCCACACCAGACAGGTTATCAGTCCCCTTAGGCAAGCCTTCCTGCTTCAGCCAGCCAAGGACAGGCATTTCCATGAAGCTCACTGGTATTTCAACTTGCAAGCCACTAAGCCCAGCTGAGATTCCAGCACTGCCGCTCATAGGGGCAGGAGCTCCCTCAATTCCTTCCAGTGCTCCCTCACTTCCTATCATGAGATTTGGGAAACTATACTGATCTGGTCATTATCTTTTTTCCCTTGATCAATGAGTCACCTACACAGGTCATTTAAGACAAAAATAGTTATTTTGGAGTCTGATTTACTTGCACTACCTATTTACCTTAAGTATCAGGTAATAACTTAAGTTCGATTTTGTGTGTTCTATTAGTATGTCCTTGAGCCGTAGCTGGTGTAGCTCAGTAGATTGAGCGGGGGACTGCAAACCCAAGGGTCGCCCATTCAATTCCCAGTCAGGGCACATGCAGGCCAGGTCCCCAGCAGGGGACACCTGAGAGGCAACCACACATTGATGTTTCTCTGCTTCCCTCTCCTTCCCCTCTCTCGAAAGAAATAAACTCCTTTAAAAAAAAATATGTCCTTAAAATAGATTAAAATCCCCTCTATAAAGTTTTTCTTTGAGTGTTTTTAGAAATGTGTTGGTCATTGTTGTTGTTTTTAATCCCCTAACATCCAAATTTTTATCTGTACATATCATTCCCCACTAAAAGGAACCAGAACTCTTTCAAGAAATGACTGATTCCCTGTCTAGGGCAGAAAATGTAGCTGATAAAATCTGGAACAAAATAATCAAGAGGGGCAAGATCGGGCAGAGAGTATGGGTTAAACGAGATTGACAAGTTAATGTTGAAATTGGGTGGTGGGTGCATAGGTGTTCTTTCTACTTTTGTAATTTTTTACTTTCTCCATAAAAACTTATTAAGGAAAGCTAAAACGAATTTCTGTTAAAAAGTAAAACGGTAACAGCACACACATGGTAAACACAAGTTTTCTTTTAATAACGCACAAAGGTATACAATGAAAAGCCGAGTCTCTCTCCCACCCAGACCCAAGACGCAGCCTCTTCGGCATGTTCCTAGTAACAATTTTCCACGATTCTCAGTGAAGTTTCTATGAAAACATATGCATACATATATCATTTTTAAAACCACAAACGGCAGCATACTACACATTGTTCTATGCCTTAGAAAGTTTGAACAGCTCGTTTTAATCCAGTGAGTATGTCTATGAACCACAATATCGTGAATTTGGAGGCTTTTACATATTGGGCTTCTTTCAAGCTTCTTGGATGTAATCGAGACCAAAGGCCTACATCTTCACCCTCCTCACGATTATTTAGGAAGAGAAGCAGGGCTAAGGAGGGTTAAACCGGTTCTGAAGTTGAGGTTTCGGTTTGGGAGACATCAGTGCTGCCTTGAAAAAGGTCATGTTGAGAAACACTCATTCCCTCCTCCATAGAGGACCTCGAGAGATGTGGCTGAAGGCAGGATCAATACGACAACCCTCATAACCTCTGCTCTCCGCATACCTGGTCGGACGGCACAACGCCCAAGGGCTGCGATGAACTGAACTCTACCTCCACCCCACCCCCGCGCCTGACGGCGAGCCTCAGGACGGGGGCTGTACCTGTACTGATCTCCCTCTCGCCAGCACTTGGCCCAGGGGCTCAACTGTCTAACACAGTCAAGGTCTCTGCAAAGAAGGGAAGTTGGGGTTTGAAGCGGATAATGATCGAGGGAGCCCAAAGAGGTGGATTTAGAGACACAAGGGGGTTTGCCAGTGGGTTATAATACCGGGGACGGCGGGGGAGGGGGGTCGCTAGGTCTAGGAGGCCACAGAAAAAATATGCGACACTTCCACGTGGGGGGTAAATTTCACTCTATTATTTAGCGGGGAGGAGCATTAAAGAAAAAAAAAACATGCTCTATTACGGGACTACAAAATCCCACAGCCACGTGAATGCCTAACACAAAACAGGAAGCCCACAGACACGCCCGCAGACCGCGAGGCTGAGAGCGTCGGCCACTCCCCTCGGTTACCAGGGGCGCTCGGGCCGGGCCTGGGAGCGCCGCGGCGAGGCGGACTCCCCGAGCCAGCGAGCACGCGTCCCAGCTGCGCAGCGTCCCGGCTGCGGGAGCCTCTGCGGGAGAGCCGCGCCTGTCCGTCCTCTGCACCGCCCCGGGGCATCAGTGTGATTCGGGATGTGTGAACTGGGAACTGCCGGCCCGGCTGGCCCCGCGGGCTCCAGGGGCCGCGGGCAGCGCTCTGGCCGTGCATGAAGGAGCCAAAGGGACTAAGATGGTGCACGCTGGGCGCACCCGGAACAGCCTCCAGGATTCTGGGATCCCGACAGCTGGAGGTAGGAAGTGGAGGGCTCAGAAGTTTCGAGCTCCCGAGCACACCAGAGTACGCGTCAGCACCGAACTACTGTTTGCCTGCAGAACGCCGAAAGCGCGAAAATGCTAAGGGGGGTTTCGGGTCACCTTCTCGCGACGTCTAAGTGACGTCGCACAGCAATCGCGTACTCCACTGGTTCACCTTCAGTCCACTCCCTCAGTACGCGGGCCTACCCCTTTAAGCGAGTGATGGACAGTTATTTCAGCCTATCAATTTCCCCATCACCATCCAATCAGATTTAAACTTCTCTCTGCGGCCGGAGGAGTTGGAAGAAGGGGGACGAAAGAGGGAGCGCTCTCTCGCGCGAGACGGCTGTGAGGCGGCCTCTCAGGAAAAAAAAAAAACGCCAGAAAAGATGGCCCGACTTCTCAAGTAGTGGGTTAAAGGACGGGCTCGAAAACCAATGAAAGGGATGAGGAGGTGGGATCGTTGCTTTCAGAGAGCAAGAGGTACCGTTACAGGGCACACTTTTCGTCCAATCAACGCCCGCAGACTTTGGGTCAGGTGACCATAGAGTGCGAGGGGCAGGGCTACAGCCTGGCGCGAGGAACCGTTAAGATGGACAACGAACGTAACCAATGAGGTACTCCCACTGAGGCGTTGGGAACCCAATAACAGTGGTTGGGCGGGCGCCTTCTCCGAGCGCGGGGAGATGTAAAGACGGGCAAGTAGTTTTCCCAATGAGACTGTAGAAGAGAGGAGCTACTTGACCAATGGAGACTGCGGGGCGGGATCCTTTGCAGCGGCGGAGTCCAAGATGGCGGCATGCGGTTCCGCTGTGTGAAACCAGCGCGGGGCGGCGGGTTACTCAGCTCCGCGGAGACCACGTCCGGCGACCCGCAACAATGAAGGGAAAAGAGCGCTCTCCAGTCAAACCCAAGCGCTCCCGCGGCGGTGAGGATTCGACTTCTCGCGGGGAGCGGAGCAAGAAGTTAGGGGGCTCTGGCGGCAGCAATGGGAGCAGCAGCGGAAAGACCGACAGCGGTGGCGGGTCGCGGCGCAGCCTTCATCTCGACAAGTCCAGCAGCCGAGGTGGGAGCCGCGAGTATGACACTGGTGGCGGCAGCTCCAGTAGCCGCTTGCATAGTTACAGTTCCCCGAGCACTAAAAATTCCTCGGGCGGGGGCGAGTCGCGCAGCAGCTCCCGAGGTGGAGGCGGGGAGTCACGTTCCTCTGGGGCCGCCTCCTCCGCTTCTGACGGCGCGGAGTACAAGACGCTGAAGATAAGCGAGTTGGGGTCCCAGCTGAGCGACGAGGCGGTGGAGGACGGACTGTTTCACGAGTTCAAACGCTTCGGTGATGTAAGTGTCAAAATCAGCCATCTCTCGGGTTCTGGCGGCGGGGATGAGCGCGTAGCCTTTGTGAACTTCCGGCGGCCAGAGGACGCGCGGGCAGCCAAGCATGCCAGAGGCCGCCTTGTGCTCTATGACCGGCCCCTGAAGATAGAAGCTGTGTATGTGAGCCGGCGCCGCAGCCGCTCGCCTTTAGACAAAGATACTTATCCCACGTCATCCAGCGTGGTCGGGGCTTCTGTAGGCAGTCACCGGCACCCGCCTGGAGGAGGTGGTGGCCAGAGATCGCTTTCCCCCGGTGGGGCCGCGTTGGGGTACAGAGACTACCGGTTGCAGCAGTTGGCTCTTGGCCGCCTGCCCCCTCCACCTCCCCCACCATTGCCCCGAGACCTGGAGAGAGAGCGAGACTACCCATTTTATGAGAGAGTGCGCCCAGCCTACAATCTTGAGCCGAGGGTTCCTGGAGCAGGTGCTGCAGCTTTCAGAGAAGTGGATGAGATCTCACCGGAGGATGATCAGCGAGCTAACAGGACGCTTTTCTTGGGCAACCTGGACATCACTGTGACAGAGAGTGATCTAAGGAGGGCTTTTGATCGCTTTGGAGTCATTACAGAAGTAGACATTAAGAGGCCTTCCAGGGGCCAGACCAGTACCTATGGCTTTCTCAAATTTGAGAACCTAGACATGTCTCACCGGGCCAAACTAGCAATGTCTGGCAAAATTATCATTCGGAATCCTATCAAGATTGGTTATGGGAAAGCTACCCCCACCACTCGCCTCTGGGTAGGTGGCCTGGGATCTTGGGTGCCTCTGGCTGCTCTGGCAAGAGAATTTGACCGATTTGGCACCATACGCACCATAGACTACCGCAAAGGTGACAGTTGGGCATATATCCAGTATGAAAGCCTGGATGCAGCTCATGCTGCCTGGACCCATATGCGGGGCTTTCCACTTGGTGGCCCAGATCGTCGCCTTAGAGTAGACTTTGCAGACACAGAACATCGGTACCAGCAGCAGTATCTGCAGCCTCTGCCCTTAACTCATTACGAGCTGATGACAGATACTTTTGCACACCGAGCACCTGATCCTTTGAGGGGTGCACGAGATAGGACACCACCTTTGCTATACAGAGATTGTGATAGGGACCTTTATGGTGACTCTGATTGGGCGCCACCCCCTCCAGTCCGGGAACGCAGCACTCGGACTGCAGCTGCTGCTGTGCCTGCTTATGAGCCACTGGATAGCCTGGATCGCAGGCGGGATGGTTGGTCCTTGGACCGGGACAGAGGTGATCGGGATCTGCCCAGCAGCAGAGACCAGCCTAGGAAGCGAAGATTGCCTGAGGACAGTGGGGGGCGGCATCTGGATAGGTCCCCGGAGAGTGACCGTCCAAGAAAACGTCACTGCGCTCCTTCTCCTGACCGCAGTCCAGACTTGAGCAGCAGCCGGGATCGCTACAACAGTGACAATGATCGATCTTCTCGCCTTCTTCTCTTGGAAAAGCCCTCTCCCATCAGAGACAGACGAGGTAGTTTGGAGAAAAGCCAGGGTGACAAGCGAGACCGCAAAAACTCTGCATCAGCTGAACGTGATAGGAAGCATCGGACAGCTGCTCCCACTGAGGGAAAAAGCCCTCTGAAAAAAGAAGACCGGTCTGATGGGAGTGCAGCCAGCACCAGCACTGCTTCTTCAAAGCTCAAGTCCCCTTCCCAGAAACAGGATGGTGGGACAGCCCCTGCAGCAGCAGCCTCTCCCAAGCTCTGTTTGGCCTGGCAGGGCATGCTTCTCTTGAAGAACAGCAACTTTCCTTCCAACATGCATCTGTTGCAGGGTGACCTCCAAGTCGCCAGTAGTCTTCTTGTGGAGGGCTCCAGCGGAGGCAAAGTGGCCCAGCTCAAGATCACTCAGCGTCTTCGTTTGGACCAGCCCAAGTTGGATGAAGTAACTCGACGCATCAAAGTGGCAGGCCCCAATGGTTATGCCATTCTTCTGGCTGTGCCTGGAAGTTCTGACAGCAGGTCCTCCTCTTCGGCCACGTCAGACACTGCCACCTCTACTCAGAGGCCGCTTAGGAACCTGGTGTCCTATTTAAAGCAAAAGCAGGCCGCTGGGGTGATCAGCCTTCCTGTGGGGGGCAACAAAGACAAGGAAAACACCGGAGTCCTTCACGCCTTCCCACCCTGTGAGTTCTCCCAGCAGTTCCTGGATTCTCCTGCCAAGGCACTGGCCAAATCTGAAGAAGATTACCTGGTCATGATCATTGTCCGTGGTGCGTCCTAAAGTCATGTGTACCTGTATTTACTGCTTTGACATGGTTCTTGTTTTGTGATGTATGATGGGGTACAGCATCAGATGACATTTTCTTTTTAATTAGTTGTTTAGTTAATAGCTTTTTCTTTTTTATATTTTTATAAACCTCTTAAAAATAGACATCAGGACAGTCTAGCTATTAAGTGAAAGGGATGCCCAGGAGGTAGCAGGCAGATAGATTTACTTTAATTAGGAGTTCCTACTCTTGAGTGACTTTTTTCCTCTTCTTTGCTTTTTTTCTTTTTTAATCTCGAGCATAAAAAAAATCCTCAAAGTTACAAAACCAAAAAATTGAAAAGTCAAAATTCGGAGAAAAGAGCGCATTCACTATATAAAGGTGGTAATACACACCTAAAAATGGCTTGATTGGTATGTAGGTAAAATTCCTGTACCAGAAGTTTTAACGTGTATGAAAAAATCGGATTAGGTCCCTCAAAAGTATAAGCTGGTAAATTGTATAGCAGTGTAATTATTTTAATCAGGTATTTGAGTATTTCTCTTAAAATACACGGTTTATTCCCAGAGTTTGCTTTAACATACGCATTTTTATCATTAGTTCTTGAGTTCTGTATCCTTTATATGCACTTTTGGTTTGTAGCTGTAACTGTTCAGTAAAAATTGAGGAATATGTTACAGACCATATGTCTTATGCTTACACTAGTGTGCAAGATGTGAGTAGGTGCTTTTAAAATCAGAATTCTTTGGTCAGTTATCGGTATGTGGTGGCGTTTTTACTTTTTCAGGGAGTTGTAGTAGGTACAGTTCTAGTTGTGCATATTTCAGAACTTCAGTGTTTTTCATTAAAGATGAGTTTTTGGTTTTGTACCCATTCAAATTCTTGATTTCAATAATAGAAAGAAGAGTTGTCTGCAGGCTCATGATTCATCTTTTGTTTCAGTGGGCATTAATTAGCCATATCTAGATTGCAGAATTTTTTAAAGTCATTGTGAAGTGCTTTTGACGTGCTCTTTTAAAATTTTGCTTGTATTTTTTATCTTCATATTTAAACAGCAGCAATGATATTACGTCACTGAAAATATTTTGGATACTTTTGAAATAGTGTGTTTAATATTTCTACTGGTGTCCAACCACAGAGAGTTGAAATGTCAGTGTAGGAAAACCGTTTTTTAATTGTTTTACTTTCCCAAACATCCGGAATTAATTCAAAATAATTTAACCCACCCTTACAGTTTTTTCAAAGCTGAAGATTATAACAACTTTTGGTTCTTAACAAGGGCTTTTTTGGCTTAAAAATAATGATTTTGGTGTTTTTGTTTTTTCATCTATCCATAGCTGCCACTTTAGTTTCTCAGCTGGTTAGTATATTTTCCCCTCTTGATTTAAATGCTGAGGACTTTAGCTAAGGCCCTGAATTTAGTTATGATTAGAAACTTTAGGACCATTTGGATCATGGTCGTGTTTCTATTCTGTGAAAGTGACTTATTGAAAGCCTGGCAGGACCCAACTGTTTTCTTTCTGTTAATCAAAGCTGGTGGTTTAAAATAGCACCAATAATAACCCAGGGAAACGTCATGCAATTTTTAAATTTTCCATTATGACAGGTGTGTAATGCATGTCAGCCTGAAAGCCTCATCACTGCTGTGTTTTGTTTTGTGTTTTTCTTTTTGGTCTTCATTATGCATTCATAAATTTTCTTTTTAGGTTTGGAGGGTTTTGTGGGTTTTTTGTTTTGTTTTTAAACTGGAAAAACTAGCCATTTTTGAGAGAAGGAAAGTACTAGGCTATGAACACAAACACCCTTGGTTAGCTTGTAGGGAAAATACCTAATGTGCTACGGTTAAGGCTTTGGGTGCTTTTTGCTTTTAAAAGGCCGAGCTTGGCATGGTAATACGGCGTAGACACCTGGTCAGAAACCAATGCAGTATGCAGCCTGCATACATGAGGTCAAAGTACAGTTTAACTAGATACATTTTTCCAGTTTAACTCTGACTAACCATTAACTTTTGAATATCTTTTCATAAGATGGTTGGACAAATAATTTTGCTCTTTTGGAGAGTGAAGTCCATGACATCTAATTTTATGATAATCCAAAGTGTGTGCAGCTCCTCCCCACCTCTTTTTTTAGTGGTTCATGCTCCATATTTGTTTGAATCGTTCTTTGATATTGCAGCTTTTGTTAGATCTGGGAAATTTGTGCTTCAGTGTCTTTGAAACAATGGCTTGATACCATTTCTAAATGTATGTATTATAAATAACTAATTATGTTTAGTTTGGTGCTTACCAGCAAGAGTGCCATCATTCAGATGAATCTTCTTTGTGATGTGCATTCTGTTTATGCAGGTTTATAACATTGGTAAATTACTGACTTAAACCTTCAGAACGGAATGAAAGCAAAAGTCTAAAACTGGTTCTGATGCTCATTAGTCAGAATTTCATAATCTCAGCATTGGGTGTTCTTTGTAACAACCAATTTTTTTCTTTTTCTTATACTTTAAGAAAATACTTGTTTAGTTGATGTTTCTGAAACTTGGTCTGAATGAATGGAGAGAAAATATCTTCAGTATATCATTTAATGACTTATTAAGTATTACTGGTGAAACACATCAAGCTAATTAAGACTTTTGGATCACTGCTTCAGAACTTATGGAAAATTAAGCCTTCATCTCCTAGCCAATTTTTAATTATTTTGTTGTCTATAACTGGGACCCTTGGAGTTTTCCACCCCAAAATTTAAATTCCCGGTTTAAGATGTATACTTTGACTCAGAATTGAGCATAGATATACTTCCTTTTAAGGATTAGACCTTAAAATGTCCATTCTCTGGCTGGTATAATCTTTTGTCACATTTTGAAGGTAATATATTCTGGCCCTTCTTAACTCAGATCATTTGAGGTCAGCAGCAGTGAAAGTAAGTTGTGTGTCTGTTGCTTTCATAGTCAAACACTGTTTAGGTTTATTTTTAAACTTAAGAGCAGGTTTTCACTGACAGCTGTTTTTTTTTTTTTTTTAATTAATTTTAAATCCACTTTCTTTAGGCAGTGAAATTGCTCATTATGCAGGTATAGCTTGAACTGCAGTTGGGGTTCGTGTAGGAACCATTCACAACAAACTCTGTGGTAACAGAATTAGGAAATCCTCTTGAGAAGAGGGCCTTAATGACTTTTCATGTGAAAAAAATTCGGGGGAGAATTTCTGGACCTTTTTTTTCTGTCTCTGCCACAGTGCGTGGTTTTGAGATGCATGGGAGTCAGGTAGTACAGCAAGCAGAGGAGAAGTGGATGTGACCCTGTCAGCATTCTGGTGAGAGTGATGTCCCTAAGGGGAGAAGGTGATTCAGGCAACCACAGTGAACCGTCCACCTTAATGAAGACTTTTATGAGTGTGATTTAAACAGCACTGAAAAGTCAAAGTCCTAAAGTGTTCTTTGGCTGTTTAGCAATGGTTTGTAGGAGTGTATTTTTATTTTTGTTTTTTAAGTAAGAGTTGTTGTCTTTGGTAACACAGATGAAGGTGGATTTTTAAATGGCTTTGTACCTGGAATCCTTTCTATAATAATGGAGCAGTTTATTATTGCTCCATTCATAAATTACAGAATGAAAATAGAGGGGGGTAAAAGTTTGACTAAACTCCACCTTTTTCCAGTTTCATTTTTTTAAAGTTATATGTAGAATATATTGATTATAGGTTGATTATAAACTTACTTTCTTCTAAATTCTTCCAATATGTTTTACTCAGTTACATGAGTATAAAGGATATTTTCAGTCCTGTAATGCTCACTTAATTGCAGTCTTTAAAAAAAAAAATCCACCCTGTTCTATTTGTTATTTGTCTGCTCATACAGGAAATTCATTTCAAGGTTTGTGCCAGTGGGTATTATTGGTGCTTTTTGAGGTCAAGGTGGACTATCTAGGAAGGTCTTGTTAACATTATGTTCATCTATGATGGCATAGGGGAAATATATATATATATATATTTTTAATATTGTAAACATTTTTACTGAATAACCTTTTTTTCCCTCCTGCAAGCAAAGCTGGTGAACAGTGGATGAAGATACGGAAATCAAAGCTCTAATGGACCTTTCGAAGAGGAGTTGTGGCTTATGTGGAGTTTACATGGGCCTCTTGATGGAAGAAAGCTAATCTGTTTAGTATTTTGTGCATTTTACTAAAATGGCAGCTTAAAGTTGTGTATCTGCTATTGTGATGCCAATGCCGGTGTTTTAAGTGGAAAAAAAATGACCTCTTGCTTTGTGCTGTGTACACAAGATTTCTGGAAAAGTAAAGAAAAACCCTTTTTATGGCTCACACAGCTTAAGAGTAGCTGTCACTCAAACGTGCGCTCACAGTTGAGCTGCTTTTGTTTTATTCTAAATAAATTGTTTCTTTTGAGGAAAATGTTTTTCTGCCTGGAAGTGAATTGACGGCAAACCTTTGACCCCTTTGTTTGCAGCCGGGGTTACTTGCTGCTGCTCAGATCTCGTGTGTCTTGAGCAAGAAGCAGGGAGACCATCATTTTGACTTATCATGGTGTGTCAATTCTGAAGGATCTCTAGTGTTACTGTGACCCCCTTTGTTTGCAGTGAAGGGGATCATTTGCTTCTCGGTCCTCAACTTGATGAGGAAATGGTGCTGTTGGCTGGCACGCAAGAAGCCGGGGCAAGCACCGTAAGCCTCACCACAGTGCACGAGTCGGGGGCTTTGCTGGTTGGAAGAGCCGGAGTTGCTGAAATTTAAGTTTTGATTTATTTTGTTCACCCATCACGTTTGGCCTTAGTTTCATTTTTAATTTGAAGAAAAGTTTGCGATTGCTTTATCTTGCACTTAACATTTGCACCAAATTGCCAAAAGAAGGAGAATGCTCCGTTTGCTTTTTAAATGTTAATGCTGATGTTAATAAAGCCTTTCCTGACACACTTGAGGAGCTCCTTCATCTCCAGGGGCTTCTCACCAGAGGTATGCGGTGATGGGTTTAGTTCTGAATGGATGAAGAGTTCCTGAGAGCTAGTGTTTGTAATTAGAACCGTTACTTGGTATCTGTGCCTTATCTGACCTGTGGTTCCACATGCCTCGGATGTGCATGCACCGTGACGGTTCCGTAGGTACGAACGCACACTCAGGCCCAGTCACCTCGGTCGGTAGTACAGATGGTGAGGAAAAAATGGAGGCATCCTTAAGGAGGAAAAAAGTGTTTGCCTTTAGTTCCTGCATTATCCTGCACAGGGGTCCTGAGCTTTGGAAGCTGTTCCCAGCACAGGAGAGCAACCCTGTTTGCAGCAGGAGACTTCGGTGCACAGTGACAACGCTGGAGTTCAAGAGGAAGCCAGCAGTGCTGCACCTTTGGCTTCAGACACCACTGTTGTTTGCCAGTTGTAAACTTAACTAGTTGCAGACGAAGACCACCTTGAAATGCAGGCTTGTTGGGCTTGTTTTGAATTTTAACCTCGGACGGAAGAGCCCTAGTGCTGTCTGTCTCCATGCGGGATGATGATTACTTAGGCAACAGGTGCTTACCAACAAAGGATGCCACGATTATACTCTGCAAGGTGGTGTTCCAGTGGCAAACAGCTGTATAAACTCTTGTAAACAGGTAAGAGGGTTTTTAGAGGTCAAAAATGCATTATAATTAACAGGGTGAGAACTTTCAATGGTGGGGGTATGTCTCTCTGGAAATCTTTAGGCACTCTGCTGCTATTACTAGCTACGTCCTTCACCAGAGTGATGTATTTGTAAAATTCCAGGCCAGAATTTTTGTTCTATGGATGTTTGTGTCTGTATTTTTTAAAAAATTCTTTTAATGAACCAAAACATTAAAATCTTGGCTATGGATTTGGGGCCTACAGCCTTGATGCCCTTTAAAACTGTGACATTTTCTATTAGCTGTGACATTCGCCCTCAGTGGTGGTTTAGTGGTGTGCTGGAAGAATTTTCTGCTGTATAAACCTCCAAGTTAACAAAACTATATAGCCAAAAAAAAAAAAAAAAAGTGGACCATCAGACTAGGAATGATGGATAATTTAGCCAAAATGGTTAGGTTTTTTTTTCTTGTCCCACAAAGAGATTAATTATTAAATCAGGCTACTACAACTTGAGGGGAGTGAATAGACAGTGTTGGCGGTGCTGTTATCGTCGTTTTCATGGTCCATTTGGTCCTGTCAGCCTTCTGAGCCCTTCCAGCTTCTCCCCCGACAGTAGTCAAGTGGGAGGTTTTGGCAGCTGAACACAAGCACAACTTTTTCATGCATAATACAATTTAGGTTTTCTCGCTCTATTTTAAATGGGATTGAAGATTTTGAGGGTAATTTTTCTCTTTCATGAAATGTGTATCTGTCTTTTTCCAAAGAGGAAACGTCAAGTACAGTGGTTTGTTTCAGGTCCTCGGTGTCTTTTACAAGAGTTTTTAAAAACCTGCTTATGAATTGGCTGCTTTCTAAAGCTTTGCTAAATGATCTCTTACCTACATGCCTTTAAACTTTCTCTACCTGTTGGGAATGTCAGTTTCCAATGTATTTTCTTTCTCTGACTAGTTCACACTGAAAACCCATTAAATAATTTTTCCCGTTACTAAACAAGTATTTTAAATCACTATAGTGATTTGAGAAAGATTATATTACACTCCACTTACTTCTGCATATTTGGTATCTTTCTAAGATCTCAGGCTTCCTCTCTCAGGAACAAGAAGAAAATGTTGGCCCTGGGCATTTGTTTGTTTGTTTATGAAACTATACAAAATGGAAAGGTACACAGCATGACAATTTTAAAACTACTCAAGAAATTTTATTTCCAGCTACACCAGGAAGGAAAAAATACTAATTGGGTTGACTGTTAGATCTAGAGTTGAGGCTTTATAAATTGGAAACTGCCCTTTTGAAATATTTGTGTGGTTTCCCAGTAGCTTTCATATATTCTAAATTTAGGGTCCTATTCTAAAGGAAATAGTTCCATGAACACTCCTGAGTTGGTTTCTGCTCATTTGGAAAGCCTGGCTGTGAGTATTAAAATTGAAAATAGGGATTACCTTGACTTTGGTAAAACAACCTTGATTTTATAAATTGCCACTTCTATAGCTTAAGTCACATTGTTATTTCCAAGCTGTTTATCTGAGGCAATAAATTGAGTGCATATGGCTTGTACAGCATCTTTTTTTTTTTTTCTTTTTTTCAATAGGATATCTGGGTATGGCTTATCTGACCACCACCTTTCTCTCCCAGCTTACTCTCTAAGCTTCCTTGGTTAAAAGACGCTTTTACTTAATAAGTCGAGTTATAACCTAGTTTTGAGTTGTTAGCAGAGGAATTTATTGAATAACAAAATTCCTTCAAACTTCAGACAAGTTTGTTCTTAGCACCAGAAGCGATTTTGACGTTGAAGTAAAGTGACTTAACGTGTTTTCACCCAAATGGAATGCTGTAATATTAAGCTTTCAGGTAGGGTTTCTGTGTAATCATTTGAATGCTGGTTGTGTATTAAGAACCAAGGTGCTGAGCATATAGAAGAAAGTATCAGATAGTCTCTACCCCTGTGGGCAACTTATACTCTAATTGGGGAAACTAGATATAAACAGGTAAAGAGTTAAATATCAGGGAAGGTCACAGTTTAAGACAACTGTAAGAGATTTCACAGGTTGATATTGGAGTTGATTTGCTAATAAGTGTTTTAGGTGATACGGGTATAGGAGTGAGTATATGAACAGGTTCCTTTAAGGTGGGACAGTCAAGAAAGACAAAAGAGTTCTTTGGAGAAGGATGTGGAATGGAGGAGGGAGTTTGGGATGGAGATGTCAGGCAGGCAGTCATGAATAACACTCTAGCGGCCTGTTGATCCGGGAAAAAGGTGCAGGTTGAAGCTTGGAAAACCAGTGAAAATGGTTGGGTCATTTACTGAAAGGGCATCCTGAGGGCAAGCCAGTTTGAGGAGGGCAGGGAGTGAGGATGTCGAATCAGTTGAGACATGTTGATAAAAAGCAAGAGTACTAATAATAGCAATCATGTGTTCCATGCCCATTTCAGGCCAGCATTCTGAGTCCCATACCCGTTGTCTCATGTGAATCAGCACAGACCATAATCAGATGCTAGTAAGTGATAGAGCCAGGGTTCAGCCAGGCCTTTGTCGTCACTATACTGTCAGACTTCACTACTCTTTTTCTGGAGGCTGGGATGTGGTGAGAGCTGCAAAGTTGAGTTGTGGGCAGTGATTTCAAACTATGGAGTGTATCGACATTTGTAGTTCTTGGGAAGCGAACAGGCCTTTGGCTCCAGCCCCAGAGTTCTGGGATGCGTTAGGGCCAGCATGGCCCAGGAGTCTGTCTTTTCACATCTCCCCAGGTGAATTCCCCCAGGATGTAGGCTGTGGTCAGTGGCCGCATGTCGAGCAACACTGGCCCACAGAGTAGAGTGCTTAGGTATGTACTTGGGGTGATGACCCATTGAGGACACGGGAGGGGAAGGAAGGTGGCACTGGAGGAGAGGCCCAGTCGGGGAGCCAGGATGGTGCTCTGTCCCGGAAGCTGGGAGGAGGCGCTTCCAGAAGATAATTCAAAGCCGTTGCAGAGACAAGCAGAATAAAACTGCAGTGCTGCGGAATGTATCACTAAAAATGTCACTTAAATAACAGTTTTACAGTCAAGTAATTATTTCTCCAAGGCAGTCAATCTCGCATGGTATTTAATTTTGCCTTATAACAGTCTGAAGAAGGGCCCCTGTTGAGTTTATGAAATCCTCAAGGGTCACCAGAAAAGTTCTGTGACTTGGCTAAGGGTTACATAGCCAGGAACTGATTGAGATATCCTTGAGTTTTCGATGTTAATCTAAAAATAATGTGGCTGTAGTTTAACCTAAATTAAAATTCGAGGATCGCATGTGGAAGTGCACATCTAAGGTGTTTTCTGTGGGTGAGCGTCACCTGTCTCCTGCCTTCTGACCAGGTTCCCAAGAGAGCGGAGACGATGGGATTATAGGTAAAGTCAAGTGTATCTTTGGCTTGTAAATGGTTGAAAGATTTTCTATTTTGAATTATCTATACTGAGTTGTCTTCTATTAATGTAGCATTATTAATTTAAATCATGTAGCATTATTTAAATATTTAGTTACCTACTGTATTTTGTCATGTATAATGTGCACTTTTTAAAAAATATTGTATTTATTTATTTTTAGAGAGGGGAAGGGAAGGAGAAAGAGAGGAACAGAAACATCAGTGTGTGGTTGCCTCTTGTGTGTGCCCTACCGGGGACCTAGCCCACAACCCAGGCATATGCCCCAACTGGGAATCGAACTGGCAACCCTTTGGTTTGTAAGCTGGTACTCAATGTACAGAACCACAGTAGCCAGGGTATAATGTGCACTTTTTTTTTTTGCCCACATTTTTGAGGGGGAAATAAGGATGCGTATTATACATGGGCG